CCTTACACAGAGAGTTGCTATCAAGCCTGAATATCAGAAGCTGGAAGCTGGGCAAGAAACACTAAGCTAAGAATATTCTCTTCCCTGGCTTAGGGCCTTTTTCTTTTTAACATCTTCCTAAATCATGGTCACCCTGGCCCTCCCCTCCATGCACCTTCAGGCAGAGTGGAAAGAGAAAAGGCTGTTTTACCCATACTTCCGAGCACCCCTACCTCAGGCCCTTTGCATTTGCTGTTAGCACTCACCTGTTACAGTCTCCCTGCAGATGCCTGAGTGGCTAAATCCCACAGTTCCTTCAGGTCTGTGCTCAAATGTCACTTCAGCAGGGCAGCTTTCCTTGGCTACCTATACTGACAGCAATACCTTCCTCCCTTCCACTCCCCATTCCACTCCCTCTTCCTTTCATCCTGCTTTATTTGTCTCCCAAGGCATTTACCACAACCCGGAGTATTTTATATTTTTCTACCATCTCCCTTCTCCTCCAGAATGGAATTTTTTTTTTTTTTTTGAGACAGAGTTTCACTCTGTTGCCCGGGCTAGAGTGCCGTGGCGTCAGCCTAGCTCACAGCAACCTCAAACTCCTGGGCTCGAGCAATCCTCCTGCCTCAGCCTCCCAGGTAGCTGGGACTACAGACATGTGCCACCATGCCTGGCTAATTTATATTTATATACATAGATATATTTAGTTGTCTAGCTAATTTCTTTTCCTTTTCCTTTTTTTTTTTTTTTAGTAGAGATGGGGTCTCACTCTTGCTCAGGCTGCAGAATGGAATGTTAAAAGGGAAGGACTTTGTCAGTTTTTTTCATTGTTGTATTTCCAAAGCCTAAAATTGTGACTAGAACAAAGCAGGCACTGAAGAAGTATCTGTGGAATATATGATTAATGAATGAATAAACGAAAGCCCTTACGCGTCTGTGTGTTGGTGTCTGTGTGTTTGGGCTGCATTCCTATTTCTCTGGGCTAGGCATGGCTCTTTATTCTTAAACTGTGTGTCTGCCTGCACATATGTGTTTTCAAACATAGGAAAGATTCTCTGGGTCTGTGCATACCTGCAGCCTTGGGGCCATATGTGGCCTTCTGGATCCTTGAGTGCCGCCTTTTGACTGAATCCAAATTTTGCAGAACAAATCCTTCTAATAAGGGGATTTGTTCTGTGAAGTTTGGATTCCGTTCAGGGCCGCACTTTAGGGATCTGGAGGGCAACATGTGGCCTTGAGGCCGCAGGTCCCCCGCCACTGGCTGGTGTCAGGATCCGTGCAGGAAAGAGGAGTTGTGGCTGCCACACATCAGCAGAGGGCACCAGAGAGCCATGCGCCTACCTTCGGGGGCCAAAATGGAGAAGTCTTGGCGGGGAATGTTAGAGACCCAGGAAACCTAGAATCTGGGAGGAAAAGAGGTGGAAACCTCTTTAGACCAGCGCATTACTGTAAAATTGTGCAATTGCTGTGACTCCTCTGTTATTTCCCCTCGATTCATCCCCCAGGGCCCAGACCGACAGGCACCCCCATCAACCCTGTGAGCAGAAGCATGTAGTTAGGGGTTGGGAGAGGAGCTGGTTGCCAAAGTGGGCCCTTAAGAAAGGGGAGATCCCCTCCTGAATGTCCTCATTACTCTCTCCAGGAGTTCCCTCTCTTTCCAGTTCCTAGATCTCTGGACTCCAAAGGATCTCAAACTCCAGTGTGCTTAGAGATCCTCGGGGGCGCCCTCTCCTCCGGCTTGCCTTGAGAGAGGCCAGGCCAGGCGAGGCCCTTGGCCCTTCCCGCCGTCGAGCTGGCTAGCTTCTCCTTCTGGATGGGTAGATGCCTGAAATGAACAAAGGACCGAGGCAACTGTGCCTCTTCCCGGCAGCTGAGGACTCCCAGTACGTAGCCCGGCCCGGCGGAAGCTGAGCGGACCCTCCTGGCAGGGGCTGAAGGCAGGTCCAAGGAGCAGCTCCGATTCGGTTCTGGGTTTTGTAGGTGGGGAGAGGAATGCGTGCCCCTCCCCCCTCAAGCATTCATTAGTCAACTGAGAATTCTCGATTTGGAGAAACTAGGGATTAGATTTCGGGTCTGGGATTAAAAACGGGGTGGGGGTGGGGTAAAAATCTTTATATATTTTTTAACTCCCTGTCTCCCCCAGGCACACACCGAAAAACATTCTCTCTCTCTCTCTCTCCCCCCTCCACTAACCCAGTCATCCTCTGGGCTAGACGCTCATCCTCAGCCCGTGCCCGCCCCCCACACACTCCTCTGCTTAGTTCCTTAGTTCCATAGCCCGAGACCAAGATCGTGTCTACAAATGGGAGGGGGCGCGGGTGGGCAGGAGTCCTGCCGCGCCTGCCCCGGAGCCCGCGATTGTCACGTTCTTTACCCCTTTGCCCTCAATTCCTCTCTCTCCTTGCTCTCCTTCCATCTCAGTTCCAGCGAGGGGGGTGCGAGTGTGTGCGCGCGCGCTGGGGGGGCAGGGGGAGGGCTTGTGGAGGGAGGCGCCGTCGGAGGGAGAGTAGACGTCAGGGGGAGGGAGGGAGGGAGCCCGGGAGGGAGGGAGCGAGGGAAGGAAGAGAAGGGGAGAGAAAGGGAGAGCGGCACAGAGATCGAAAGAGACCCAGAGAGATAGAGCCAGAGTCGAGAAATAATTAAGGGCGGGGTGGGGGGGAGGTGAGAAACGGGACGGGAAGCAGGACTGGGAGGAAAGAGAGAGAGAAACGGAGGGAAGGGAATTGAGTTTGTGCGCGTGAGTGTGCGCGCGCGCGCGTGCGTGTGTGTGTGTGTGTGTGTGTGTGTGTGTGTGTGCAGGGGCGGGCGCGGGCGGGCGGGGGGCGGGCTCCCGGGCTCCCCTCCTCCCCAGCCCGCTCCTCTAGCTCCCTCGCCAACTCCGGGCCGCAGCCGCGGGCGGGCGCACGGCGGGCGGACAGCATGCTGAGCCTCCTCGTCTGGATCCTCACTCTCTCCGATACTTTCTCCCAAGGTAAGGGCCCCCCGCCCGCCCCCGCACGCTCGGCTCCCCCCGGGGCCCGGGGACTGCGCCCCCGCAGGGGGAGCGCCGGGTGCCCAGCGGCCCGCGGCGGGTCGCCGGGGTCCAGACGCCACGAGGCGGGGGCTCGGTACGCGCGCGGAGCCCTGAGGGAGGGGGCGCAGAGTAGCCGGGGCTGGCGAGCATGAGTTTTCCGTTGATTTGCCCAAGTTGTTTCCTCGGGTTGCGCGGGAGAACCGCGAATTGGGGCCGCGAGGGCTGGAGGTCGGAGTGAAAAAGGGACTCGTACGCTCAAAGTCTTTTCCGGAGCCTCGCAGCCCTACCTACCCCTCTAAGGCCGGGGGTCCGGACGCCTGGGTCCCGGCTAAGGGGAAGGCTGGATTTTGGATTTGCGGGGTTGAGGTGCAAGCAAAGCTGGATCCCACGCTCCCAAAGATGTTGCGGGGGGGATACTCCTCTCTAGCCCAGCCCTTGGGGGGCCCGAGTCTGAACCCCGGCTCCAGACTGCCTGGGGCTGCCCCCTCTAGAGGAAGGGAGGGGAGCCTTGGGGCCTCTGGTGGGGATTTGGAACCCCCGCCTGCGAGGCTTTTGGCGGAGAGTGGAATTCCAAATGCAGCTTCAGGCTAGCTTGATATGGAGGGGGGAACTCAAGAGCGACTGACACCCCACTTGGGGTCGGGAAAGTGTTGATGTCTGGGCATATTTGGAATTTGCAGGGGAGAGGCTGGGAGGCGAGGGAGGTGGCTGAAAGGGATGAGGATGTTGGTGTATCCTGGGCAGGGCTGGGGAAGGGGGGAGGGACGGGGCTGAGGGAACCAAGGGCCCAACCGGGATTGGGGTCTATAGGAGTGGGTTCAGCCTCCCTGGTCTGACTCTAAGGAAGATTTAATCCTGTGGAGCTCCTCCTCCTCCTCAAAAATGGAGCTGACACCCAGAAATTGACACACACCACCATGAAACAGTCATAGACACTGAGACAGACTACTCACCTACTGAGACAGAAACATACCCACAAACATCCCCCACACTGAGACAGACACATATACACAAAGACACTGACACATCTGAGGAAGACAGATTCCTCCCCCAAATTGGCACATACTGGCGTTCATACACCCCAGCATTAAAACTCAAACGGTACATGTATGCAGGTGGACGTTTACAAGGACACAACACACACACACACACACACACACACACACACACACACACACAGAAACCCTTCTACAGATACCAACCCTCAAGCAAACAAAGAAACTTGAACAGACATTCATATAGGCAGACACCTATGGAGATGTACAGACTACAAAATGGAGGAGGTGGTCTGTCTGGGGGGGAGGAATCTGGGAGGTCAGCTTGGTAGAACAGCCCAGGCATTACTGCTTTGCTCTCAGCCCTCTTCCTGGGTTGTGGGTGGGGTGTTATGCTGGACCCCTCCCCTCCTTGCCAGGCCCCTCCCCAGCTCTGAAGGCAGAGCAGGCTGAGTGGGTGAGGGCAGGTCTTGATTCATCTTTCCCCACAGGGCACCCATGCCCTCCTCAACACACACTTAAGATAGGGGAAGGGCACAGGTCCTTGGTGTGAGCCAAGAGCGGGAGGCAGTGCCTGGGGGAAAGGAGGAGGCCTGGCCCTGGGGTTGGCAGGCCAGGCCAGCCCAGCCACTTGGCAGAAAGTTGGGAAGATGACTTAAGTTCTGACTGCGTTCAGCCAGGCTGCTGGAGGGGGGCAGAGGGAGGGCCACGGTGGTGGTGGTGGAGGGGGCCGCTGGGTCAGCACTGGTGTGTGTTGGGGGCAAGCTTATGTCTGCCCCTTTCTTGCAGCCCTCACATGTCAGCAACATGGATACAAATGAGTGTTAAGGAACAAAAGCTGCAGTTAGCAAACTGGAGAGACATGCGGATTAAATCGGGGACAGAAAGAAGTGTGTGTGTGCCTTTCTCCCTTTGGAGAGGGGGAAGCGGTTAGGGAATACAGAGCTTCCACCTCCCTGCCTGGAACAGGGGTGAAAGCAAGACCTGAACAGGGGTAAAAACAAGTATCTGGGGTGGGGGCAGAGGATACCAAAGAAAAGAAAGGGAGAAAATAGACAGGAGGGGAGAGGAAATTGCAACTGAGTGTTGGGGGAAGCTCAGCAAGGGATTGGGAGGAGGCAGGGAGGGAAGGAGTAGGGGTCTGGGGAGACTGAGGTACACATGGGGGTGGGGGCTTGGTGGGACACCCTCCCCTTAGCCTCCATCCTTAAAAAGAAGGGAGTTCTAGGGCTCTAGGTCAGGGACTGGGCCAGTGAGAGGGGAAAGGGGGGTGGGGCAGAGGGCTGCCAGGGGGAGGAGGGACAGTGGTGAGGAAATGGGGGGAGAGTAGGTGGCAGGAGAAGGCCATAGAATTGAGGGGAGCGGAGAGGGGAAGGAGATTCAGCCTAGGCTGAGAATAAAAATCGCATTTTAAAGAATTTCAATGGGCTTCATCAATCTTCATTTTTCACTAAATAATTTTCTGTATCTTATCTAAATGAAAACCATTATCCTTCCCCCCGTTTCCATCATGCGCCGGCTCCTCAGACTGATTGCGCCGAAAATTGAAATATTTATTCATTTTCTGGGAGATTTTCTCGCTCCCTAGTCTCGGGGAGGAGAAATTGAAAAAGAAAGATTATAGCTAATCAGAGCAATGTGGGATGACAGGCCGGCTCGGGGCGGGAGCTGCCTCCAGAGGCTGGGCGGATGTGGGGGTAGGACACAAATCCATCCTTCCAGCCCCCCAGCTCCCCCTGGCATTCCTGCCACAGCTTTTGAGGGGAGTAGAGGGTAAGGGGAAGAGGCCCGAGGGCCCCCTAAATTCCCAGCATTCAACTCCCTGAGTACAACCACATCCTGGCGGGAACGTGGGGTCTGGCAGAGTAGCTGGGCTCTCTCCTCCCTGTGCTATTCCAGATATCCCACTTCTGCCCAGAGCAGGCCGTCGAGGTTGGGGAAGAGGCAGGGGAGACATGGCAGAAGCCAGGATACTGGGCCCTCTCCTTGACCTTGACTGGACTCCACTTTCTGCCTTCTGCTCACCTAGACCCGAAGGGAGGGCGTCGAACCAAGTCCTCAAGTGCCTCAGCCCCGGACTCCAGAGAACCCAGTCAGAAGGAGGAGGAATCGCCCAGGCCTTCTCACTTCTGCTCCTTCCCATAGCGGAGTGGTTGGTTGCCCTGGCTCTGCCTTTGGTTCTCCGGGCAGCTGGGGGCAGGAACCCCACTGCTCCCCACCCGGGACCTCTTCATATCCTGGGACTAAGTCTTAATTTCTCTTTTATCCTGTAGTTTCTGGCATAGTGCTGCACCTATGATAAGTGCCCCTTAAACATCCGATCAATTGATTGATTGGATGGGAGTGCTGCAGTGTTGGAAGGAGCAATATTAAATGGCGATTAAATCAGACTCGCATCCAGCCCCCACCTCCACTCCTTGTGAGTTGGGTAAGCTTGAACAAGTTGTCTTCTCTTTGCCCCAGTTTGCTCATCTGTAAAGTGAGGCTGGTAGCAACACCCTTAGGGTTGTGATGGCAACTGAATATGTCGATCCATGTGAAGTGCATGGAACGGGCGTCTGGCACAGCGAGAAGTGCCCGGCAAGCGCTTGCTGTCCTAACTCTGGCTGGACATAAATAGGCAGTTGAGTTGTCGCCACCTCCTTTTCATCTCCTCTTTATGATTCCCTGTTTGTTTCCTAGCTGCCCTGCCCAGATCCTTGGTCCGGGGCTTCAGGAAGACTCTTCTTTGTATCTCTCTTGGAGGGAACTGGGTTGTGGCAGACCCAGAGGGGAAACTGATCAGTCCCTTCCTGATTGGAAACCTCAGAAAAGGTCTGGGGAAGGGTCTTGAGGTGACAGCAAACTGGAAGAGGTTGGCGTTCAGCCCCTGTGTGAAATGAGGAGGGATACTAGCCCCAAGGTGGCAGCATTTCAGAGTCTGGAAATAATATGGATCATTTATTGAGCCCTTGTGTTAACTACTTTACATGCATTATCTAATTTAATCTATACAACAACCCCCAAGCTGGCTCTTTAATTATCCCCATTTCATGGATGAGAAACTGAGGTTTAGATACGCTAAGTAGATTGTTGGTAGTTGTAGGAGCTGGCTGACCCCAGAGCCTGCACCTTTTTCCTTCGCCAGAGATCCTACAGGCCAGCAGGAATGGATGCTGGGCTGGGACAAGGTTTCTCCTGGCCCATAGCAGCATGAGAACTAGGAGGAAGAGGGAGTGAGTGTTTTGTAAGGGTAAATTCATTCGAAGTTTTTAAACAATCCTTTGTTCTGAAATTCTGTCCTATATTTTTTGGCGTTAAATCGTTTTTCTTTGATGATATGACAGTGTTAGTTAATGACTTTTTTTTTTTTTTAAGGACTTGGCAAATAAAAAGGTGTACAGCCTTGTGTTTGTTTCTAATATTAAACACAGCCTTTCGGCCCATAAACTATAAGTTTAGGAGCTACCCCTGTACCACGCAAGGCCGGCTCCCGGAAAGGCCCCGAGTCATACAGAGGCAAGGGGTGAAGCTGGATCTGGGTCTCCCAAGTGTCTGCCATGGCTTATTTCAGCCTGCCTGAGAAGGCCCTTAGTCCTTCTTAGCCTGTGCCCTGGGGGCCTCCCTAGCTTGCCTAAGGTGGTGGAAAGTGATTGTAGGAAGTCAGCTCCATACCAAAGCATCAAAATTACCTTTTATTGAGTTTGTGCTATGTGCTTTTCAAGAGAATGTTACTCCCAATTTATAGATAAGGAAGCCAAAGTTGAGAGTTTAACTTGCTTAAGGCCATACCTAGGGTGTTAGATCCCAGAGTCCAACCTTCTTTTCTCTGGCTACAAAGCCCACTGCCTCCCTTAGAGTTGAGGCGGCTGCTGGGGGTGGGTGTGTGGCTAGGCCTTTTTCCTCTCTGGGGCCTTGCTCAGCTCAGCCTTTTGTCCCATTCTCTGCCCAGGAATGCCAAGGCCACATCTACCTCCCTGCCTT